TCTACCTAAAGAGAACCAAGCTGAAGGTTTTGCCATGGCCCTCACAGTCCCACGACCTAAACATAATTAAAAATCTGTGGCTAGACCTCAAAAGAGCAGTGCATGCAAGACGACTCAAGAATCTTACAGAGCTAGAAGCCTTTTGAGGAATGGGTGGGAGTCCCCCAAACAAGAACTGAAAGACTCTTAGCTGGTTAAAATGTTCAGAAGCTGTGATACTCACCAAAGGAGGCACCACTAAGTAGTGACATTGCAGAATGTCAAAACTTTTGATTCAGGCCCTTTTCCTTTTTTGTTATTTTGAAACTGTGAAAGATTGAAATTCAAATGTAATCTTGCCTAAAATATTAAAGAAAGTTTTAATCATTAACTTCATGTCTTTTGGAGATCAGTTCATCTTCTACTTACTTAACTACTCACAGTAAACGACCAGGTGTGCCCAAACCTTTGCATGCCAGTGTACATAAAAAAGCTAATTTGTGTCATGCATCTAGGGTGACCAGACGTCCTGCAATGCGTGGGACTGCACAGCATTTCTGTCTCTTTTCACGCGTCATGCAAATTGAGACCATGTCCCGCACAATTGGTTGTCACCCACGCTTGTATTCCCACCCCCCGGCCAATGAGAAGAAGCTGCATGCAGTGGCCGGCCCACGTGGGCTCTCTGTTTATTGTCAGAGTACCTCACCCCTCCCGCCTGTTATAGCAACTATTTCAACCTCCTTGATAGCAACAGGTGACACTCGTTAGCTAATGACACTTGCGCCGCACGACTGTAGGCTTGTTGAAGAGTAGACGAGATGAGGCTGCCGCAGCGGGGGGCAGTGACAAAAAGCTGCAGTGAAGTCGGACAGTTTCCCGACAGTTTCCAGCAGCCTTCAGTCCGTACAGGAAGTCACAGACAGACATACATCCTGTCTGGAATAATGTCAATTCATTAAAAAAGTGATCAGACCCATATATCAGTTTGTTTTCAGTCTCCAGTTGTTTTAATTATGATAGAATAATTTATTAAAATGCTTTACAGGTGATCTGTAGATTATGTTCATGGTTTATCCTCCATTTGATATGAATTCCCCTGTAAATCAGCATCATATCAGTTTGTCCTGTCCCCTCAACTACACAGGCTGAATAAACAGTGCTTGACTATAAGGTTCATATTTTCAGAGGAAAAAAAATACAAGACAACAGCTTTCATTAAGGCTCAGTCAGATACAGTCAGGGCTTCACATCTGATGTTATTTTAAGAATCTTCACATCCCACTGACCACAAGTCTCTGTGTTGCTAAATACTTCAATAATTAAAACAGTCCAGTGTTAATATACAGTAGACTCTGTATAGTTGATGATGAATGTATTTAGTCTCTGATGACTAAACTTTGCGTTGGGGGCGGGTATCCCACATTGTCCCTCACAAACCTACTCCTTGTCCCACATTTGGTTTATTGGGACCTGCTCACCCTGCATGCAACATTATCAAAACATGCAGATGATCTGTGGGAGCTGCACAGAATATTGAGTCATAAACTATACATTTCACAAAAACAGGAAAATTACAACACAAGATATCAATGATCCTTAATGGGCATTTCCCAAACCGCACCCTACACCCTCTCCCTACCCATTTTCACTCTGTTTCAGCATTCATGCGAAGGGTCCCAAACCAACTAGTGATGAGTGGAAGTAAGTTATAAAACCCTCTGACAGTGAGCTTGCACTGACCCCATACTGACTATGTGTAACGCTGTATTATGTTTGTCATTGAAGATGCTCCATACAAATAAAGTCTCACAACTACCCTTACAAATGTTAACTGCTCAAACTAAGAAGACATATATAAGCCTATTGCCTATTGCCGATGTTAACATCTTAAAGGTTACATTGTGTTTAGGATATGTATGTGTATATATACATACGTGTCTGTGTGTGTGTGTGTGTGTGTGTGTGTGTGTGTGTGTGTGTGTGTGTGCGTGTGTGTGTAAAGAAATGAAATTTGTAAGTGTGTACAAATTATTGGTAGTTGTGGATAAAAATGTATACAACCTGTCACTTTGATTATAATTTCTGATACATGAATTAGCCTGACTGGATTAGTTTAAAGATCAAAAAAAAACATATGGACAACATAATGACTAAAAGCTGACTAAAATATTATGAATTTTGGTCAACTAAAACTCGACTAATACTGTGAAGGATGAAAATGACTAAAATGTGACCAAAACTAACTAAGCGTTTTGATCTCAAGACTAAGACTAATTCTAAAATAGCTGTCAAAATTAACACTGTCTAGGATTCACAAATTCGCTTCCAGGACACTGTGGCAATTTACGCTTGTTAGAGGCATTGTGTCTTCTTAAAATACATTTCAGTTTTCACAGGAGATGAACAGTTTCTGCTCATTAGATGCATGAATTCTTTTTCAAAATAAACCCAGAACAACAACATCTTGTTTTTTATTTCTTTAGGTTAAGGCAATAAAAGGACATGATTAGGTTTAAAAAAAAAAAACATCATGGTTTACCATAAAATAAGTCAGTTGTTGTCACTACTGTAGCATGCTACAAATACTAGCGCACTACATTGTTATTAAAATAACTCAATGACTTTTGATTTCACACGAGAAATGAACAGCGGGCTTGCGGGGCAAAGTTTAGTGTCTGTTGGACCCATCCACCTCCACTCCCATCTGGCCTATAGGGACTTATTTGTTGACTCTAAATGTGATCATAGAATCTAACTTTTAAAAGAGTTAATGTGTGGTACAGCTCTGGTTTTTTTTCTTCACCTGATTGTTGCAACGGCCTACTTTGTAGTTTGGTGGGTAGGTTGTTTGGTGTATTATTTTATTTATTCAGAGAACAGCGTTTTTCAATTTTGATTGTGATGGTTATATACTTTAAAGAGCGCTAAAGTGTGCACAATGTGGCATTGTTTTCTTTGTTGTTTCCTGTTATAAATAAATAATAAATGTAAATTGTGTATGTGTAGCAGCTGCTAGGTATACAGTGGTGGAAAAAAGTTTTCGGACACCCTTTAAATTTTACACAATCTCAAATATTATCATGAAATATTTGTGGAAAAATCTTTTTTGTGTTTCAAAAGGTGTGGCTGCATTAGACAGATACAAACAAATACAAATTATATTTTTTTGTTTATTGTTTACAAGAAAAACTAACAAAACTAAATTCTTGACAGTTTCAGTATGTCAGTTCTCAACATTGTCGGTATCAAAGTCAACAAATAACAGAGAATGTGTTCAAAACTGAACAAAAAATAAATAAACCATCACATCATCAAATTAATATTTAGTAGTCCTGCCATTGGCACGTAGTAGAGCTCTAATCCTGGCTGGCATGTTCCCCACGAGCCTTTCACACTGTTGAGGGGTAATCTTGTCCCATTCTTCTTGAATTACTGCTTTTAATTCTTCTAAATTCTTTGGTTTATGCTTTGAAACAGACCTTTTGATAATCCACCACAGATTTTCAATGGGGCTCATGTCCGGGGATTGAGCTGGCCACTCTAAGACCTGGATACTGTGCTCCTGCAGCCAAGTTCTACTGGCCTTGGATGTGTGGGAAGGGGCATTATCTTGTTGAAACATCCAGTTTTTACCTCGACGGAACAGTGCACGCGCAGAAGGGAGCATGTGGGTTTCGAGAATGGTACAGTACTTGGTAGAGTTCAATGTGCCATCACAGACAGTGAGATGACCAACACCAGCAGCACTCATGCATCCCCAAACCATGATACTGCCTCCACCATGCTTGACAGTAGGTACTGTACATGCTGGAGATAATGCTTCGCCTGGCCTTCTGCGTATCCTCACATTAGTAGGAGGAAGATAAAGCTGGAAACTGGACTCATCTGACCACAAAATCTTCTTCCAATTCCTGGCTGTCCAGTTCTTGTGTGCCTGGGCCCAACGACGCCGGGCTAACCTTTGTCTCTCATTGATCAGGGGCTTCTTGATAGCCTTGTAGGACCTTAAGCCATGATCTAAAAGTCGGCCATGTACAGTGCGGGTGGAACACTGGACACCAGTTTGGTTTGACCACTGCTGCTGAAGCTCCTGTGATGTCATTGGGCGGTTTTGCCTGCACATGCGGATCAGGATGCGGTCATTTCTTGCTGAAGAAACCCTTGGACGCCCAGATCTTGGTTTGTCTTCCAAGCTGTTGGTTCGTCTGTATTTCTGCAGAGTGTATCCAACTGCTGAAGGACTGCATCTGCACTTCCTGGCTATCTGGCAGCAGCTGTACCCTTCCTGGCTGAGAATCTTTATCTTCAGGCGTGTTTCCTGCGTTAGGTTCCTTGTTTTAGCCATTTTTGTGTCTGAAGAACTTTCAAATGTGCTGGCTTTATGTAGACACGAAGCTTGGCAACAAAAATTGTGTCTTTTAATAAAAAGAACGACCTTCATCACTGGTACCAAAATGACCCAATACTCAAAATTTCTTATGGATTTTTTTGGAACCAATCAATTTTAAGTTTTTAATGGCTTTTTTAGGATTTATTTAGTATTTTGGCTGTGACTGTACTAAAAGAAATTGCACTTGAAGACCTAAGAGTGATTCTTAGTGCAATATTTCACAAATGCACGGGGTGTCCGAAAACTTTTTTCCACCACTGTATATAGATATTTAGACACCTCATTTGTTAGCTAGACAGACATTTCCCTGCTCATTACTGCACACAAATGTACTATATGTACTTAATCCTCAAGCTCAGGAAACCCCACTGGTGCTGGCAGAGAGAAACTTCCCAGCAGGGTGCACTTTGCATGTGCATATTTTTTATTGTTTCATTTTATTTATTTATTTATTTATTTATTTGCACCAGCACTTCATGCCTGAAAAAAAATAAAATTGGCATGGATCCTTTTTTACCACTTGAGCACCTGCTCTTAAAATTTGCATGTGACTTTTCAAATCCAATGTAATGGAGTACAGGGCCTACAGTACATACATCACAATCAACTACACATAGGTTTTACTTACATTGATGATGACAGCCACGTTGGCTACCCCTCTTAGTAGGTTGTACCATATACCTGTAAACATAACAATATGTATCAACTGCTGGGTTTTACATGTAAGACTGCTTTCTTCTGTCTACAGCGCAGGGTAAGGTTGTTTCCTGCAGTTAGTTGGTTGTAATGAATATGTTTACTGGAACATTTACAGCAACAGCATTTCAGTAAGATCTCACTGTATTCCTTCACTAGTGGGTCCTTTCATGCATTTTATGCCTTTTAAAAGTATGCTGAATTTAACCCACCAATGTCTTTGGCCCTTGCTGCCACTGGTCTTCGCAACTCAGTCACAAATTTCTTGGCATCAAGTCGTATTTCAATGATGTTGTTGAGCAGGGCAAAGAGCGGAGCCAGGGGGAAGGATGCCACGAACAACGTAACAAAACCAAACTGGATGACTGGACACAGAAGAAGAGAGAATAATACATTACAAAGTCAATGCCACTAACTGTCAGCCTTATATCTGTGATTAGATCCAGTCTACACCGGATCTATACTTAAGTTATTAAAGCCCTTTACAGGAGTAGGATTGTACAGACCAGTCGCCTGAATAAAATGTTGACATTTCTGTGAACCTCGAATATATTACATTTGCACGTATCATGTCAACATTTCTAAAGTGTCATTGTACATAAGATCACTTTGTCATCAGGAAGTAGAGGGGATGGTGGATTGTGTGTCACTTAAGCAAGACGCCTGCAAAGCTGCAGACCACTGTTTGAGACCAACAAACAACAAAACAGGTTTAGGCTATTCTCATGAACTGTTTGTACGTTGTACATGTTTATATGAAAAGTAATTCACCAAAATTCATACGTATACCACATAATGATAATACAGTACGTCATTTTGGAAGACTGTGATCACCACATTAAATCGTACTTGTGAATGTTCCTCATCTTTTCTTGTCAAGTGCTGAGGAAACAACCTAGTGAGTGTGTGTGGGGATATTGCAAGTGGTACTGACTCATTTCCATATATTCAGGTGTTAACCCAGCAAATGGTTCCAGGAAGTGGTCCGTTTCATATCTCTGCAGCTTCTTCTGTCTCTCTTCTTCTTGAAAAGCCACTTGTTTTGACCGAATGTAGCGAATCAGCTTCTTCAGCTTACTGAGAAACACACACACACGAAAAGTGAAAACACAAGCATGCACACATTGTCTCTCTCTCCCTGGTGCCTTACAAGTACATCTACTCCATTTATTATTTTCCTGATTCCCACTGTTGTGGTGGTAGGGCTCCCTCTTGGGGGGTTGTTAATGTAATATTGGAGCCTTTGCATCTAACTTAACAGGAAATAGTGATTTTGGAAAGATCATTTCAGGTTCAGGCCTTGGGTACTTTATGACAATGGGCCTCATTCACTAACATGTGCGTAGAAATGTTCTTACGCTGCATATAAAATAAGCGAGCACACAAACTCACTGTTGGGTTCATGACACGTGCACTGGTCGATTTTGTTCTTATCACTGTGCCTGTGTTAGTGAATAAGAATCATTCTACACTGACAGGCGTTTACCCACTATATGCAATAAGCATACTGCCACCCCCTGTAATGATGATAATATAATTTCATGGCACTAAAAATTGATGGGAGAAACCATCTTTGGGTGACTGTGGCTCAGAGGTGGAGCAGATCGTCCACTAATCAGAGGATTAACACTTTGATCCCAGCTCCTCCAGTCCACATGTTGAAGTATCCATGGGCAAGTTACTGAACCCAAAATTGCTCCTAATGGCTGTTCCATCAGCGTGCGAGTGCGTTTGAATGGTTACTGAGTAGCAGGTGGCACCTTGTATAGTAGCCTCGGCCACTAGTGTGGGACTGCGTGTGTGAATGGGTGAATGTAACATGTAGTGTAAAAGCACTCTGAGTGGTTGGAAGACTAGAGGAGCACTATACAAGTGCAGTCCATTTACCATTTACCATCATTACAGGCAGATTCAAGAAAAACAATGAGACCAAAACTGTAGTATAGTACAGTATAAACATTCTCATTTACTCTATAGTAAGCTAGGACTGAGACATTCATTTGAGGCCCTTTTATCCTAATCAATAATGGTCATAATTACTGGCTATAAAAACTAAGTCCATTCATTAGAAAATTAAGTTTTAAATATTGTCTATTAAAGACTTTTTAATGAATGTGGTTTTAATATGTTATGCATTTAAGTGGTTACGGTGCGTGTTTACATTTTCAGAGACAGCTGGGCTATCATCATTTGTGCGTACACGTGGTAGTTTACCATACAAAAAAATTTAAATAAGAAAATATTGATGAATCCCAGATTTGTGCATAATTGTTAGTACGCATGGTTTAAGCAGATTTGTGTGCACACACTGTTTGTGAATGAAGCCCAATATGATTTTAATGAAAAGCAACCAAGTTAAAGTAATGCATACTTACGGTACTCCAATCTCAAAAAGATTGTTCTGAATGAGCTGTTTTCCCAACATGGTGATACTCAGCTGGATACACAGCTCCATCAGACAGCCTCCATGGGCACACTGTAAAACAGTCCAAACTACAGTTCAGGACAGCAAAAAGGCATTTTAACAAGCCGGCCTAAAGCAAAATGACATCATATACATGTAAAAATTTAAAGAAGTAACAGACAGCATTTTTGCCTATATATATCATTATGAAAATAATGTGGGTTGCACAGGGTAGTATACACAGTAAAATCAGACTATCAGTGTTTACATAGGTTACTTAGTGACTTTGCAATAAGCTTCTGCCACAATTTAATAATATTGATGCCAGTTGTAACATTTGAATGTTTTAGTAGTGTGTGTGTGAGAATATATAGTGAGCCGATGACTGTTGAAAAATAACTCCGCTGCGTCGGGGTTCCATTCCCCTGTCGGGAGTTATTTTTCAACAGTCACCGGCTCACTATATATTATCCCTTACGTGTCTACTGTTGTTTGAACTGATACTGTACATATTGGTATCATTTACTGTGAGTAGTTTGTACTGGTACTGTGCATTCTGGTATAATTATTTGCATTACTATTTGTTTTTTCTTCAGATAAATTTGATAATTGTTGCTCGGTCTCTTTACTCATTTATTTAGTATAGTGTCCACACACCTCCTCATTCTACATATACAGTACAGGCCAAAAGTTTGGACACACCTTCTCATTCAATGCATTTTCTTTATTTTCATGACTATTTACATTGTAGATTCTCATTGAAGGCATCAAAACTATGAATGAACACATGTGGAGTTATGTACTATGTACTAACAAAAAAAGGTGAAATAACTGAAAACATGTTTTATATTCTAGTTTCTTCAAAATAGCCACCCTTTGCTCTGATTACTGCTTTGCACACTCTTGGCATTCTCTCAATGAGCTTCAAGAGGTAGTCACCTGAAATGGTTTCCACTTCACAGGTGTGCCTTATCAGGGTTAATTAGTGGAATTTCTTGCTTTATCAATGGGGTTGGGACCATCAGTTGTGTTGTGCAGAAGTCAGGTTAATACACAGCCGACAGCCCTATTGGACAACTGTTAAAATTCATATTATGGCAAGAACCAATCAGCTAACTAAAGAAAAACGAGTGGCCATCATTACTTTAAGAAATGAAGGTCAGTCAGTCCGGAAAATTGCAAAAACTTTAAATGTGTCCCCAAGTGGAGTCGCAAAAACCATCAAGCACTACAACCAAACTGGCACACATGAGGACCGACCCAGGAAAGGAAGACCAAGAGTCACCTCTGCTTCTGAGGATAAGTTCATCCGAGTCACCAGCCTCAGAAATTGCAAGTTAACAGCAGCTCAGATCAGAGACCAGATGAATGCCACACAGAGTTCTAGCAGCAGACCCATCTCTAGAACAACTGTTAAGAGGAGACTGCGCCAATCAGGCCTTCATGGTCAAATAGCTGCTAGGAAACCACTGCTAAGGAGAGGCAACAAGCAGAAGAGATTTGTTTGGGCCAAGAAACACAAGGAATGGACATTAGACCAGTGGAAATCTGTGCTTTGGTCTGATGAGTCCAAATTTGAGATCTTTGGTTCCAACCGCCGTGTCTTTGTGAGACGCAGAAAAGGTGAACGGATGGATTCCACATGCCTGGTTCCCACTGTGAAGCATGGAGGAGGAGGTGTGATGGTGTGGGGGTGTTTTGCTGGTGTCACTGTTGGGGATTTATTCAAAATTGAAGGCACACTGAACCAGCATGGCTACCACAGCATCCTGCAGCGACATGCCATCCCATCCGGTTTGCGTTTAGTTGGATCATTTATTTTTTAACAGGACAATGACCCCAAACACACCTCCAGGCTGTGTAAGGGCTATTTGACCAAGAAGGAGAGTGATGGAGTGCTGCGGCAGATGACCTGGCCTCCACAGTCACCGGACCTGAACCCAATCCAGATGGTTTGGGGTGAGCTGGACCGCAGAGTGAAGGCAAAAGGGCCAACAAGTGCTAAACACCTCTGGGAACTCCTTCAAGACTGTTGGAAAACCATTTCAGGTGACTACCTCTTGAAGCTCATGGAGAGAATGCCAAGAGTGTGCAAAGCAGTAATCAGAGCAAAGGGTGGCTATTTTGAAGAAACTAGAATATAAAACATGTTTTCAGTTATTTCACCTTTTTTTGTTAAGTACATAACTCCACATGTGTTCATTCATAGTTTTGATGCCTTCAGTGAGAATCTACAATGTAAATAGTCATGAAAATAAAGAAAACGCATTGAATGAGAAGGTGTGTCCAAACTTTTGGCCTGTACTGTACATAGAGGTATACTGGTGGCTTTACAGACTACATTTTGATTATCTCTGATCCCCACGGTCAATTTGGTCCTTACGACAGTGCGAGCAACACCGCTGACGCTAGGTGGCGCTAAGCTAAAAAAAAAACCAAATCCTATCTGTTGCCTCTTTAAGGCATTGTGATAGTTTACTAATGACAGCACTTGACCACTCACTGACCTCTGTTTTGAAAAAATAATTGAAACCTAAGTATCACTCAGCTTTTCAGTAGTTCTGGGTATAGCTAGGTAATCTTGAGTTGAGGGGCGTTAATATAGACAGTGTGGCAGTGTGGATTCACAGGGCCCATGAGGTGATTGCGTAGTTGGAGGGCCCACTCTCTCTAAAGCAGAGAACAGGCCCTTGCAAGTGATTCAGCCACCTCAGAAATACTCCTGCCTGTGTTCAAAGAAGAACAAGTTTAAATACAAATGCTATTTTCTGTTATACATGCCCCCGAGAAGGCAAACCCATCTCAGTCAACTGACCTATACTATAGGGTCATTTTATATGTCTTACCAGATAAGTAGCAAAAATAAGAAATTAATAGAGGCCATTAAAGAATAGAATCATTATGCAGGAGAAATATTAACACTAATATAGAATAAACACAACTAACTGCAGCATTGAGTCTGTCCAAACTCCCAGTATTGAGTGTACAGTTTGACAATGCTACAGCAACAAACCTGTCTAGGCCCAAATCCCCCGATCCATCCAAGGTATGTCTGGTATTCTATAATGTACAAGTAAGGATTCTGTGTCTACAGGAAGCACTGAATGCAAGTATGTATGGGAGCAGGTATCACCAGCAGTGGAGTTAAGTTGAGCACATGGGTATTAAACCACTTCATACAGCTATGGCACTCCCAGTGGAACACACATGCCCCCACCTACACTGGTTTGAGGATGATACACATTTTATATATTTATTTATTTGGTTTATTTTTGTAGGGACGGATACAATGTACATATATTAACCGCAAGCATCCATCCAATGCATATAATCCAGGGCTGCTCCTGACCAAATTGGGGCCCTAAGCGAAATTTTATTTGGAGCTCAATCCCCCACCCTTGATTAAACACCAAAACTAAAATAAAAGAGGGAGACAGACAGGTTTTTCCTATTTAATCTTATTCTGTTATATTTCTCCCTCTCCCCTCTCTGGAGGCGTCCGATCTCCTGCCGCCCTCTGCCTCTCCCACCTTAATTAAACACTGAAAACAAAAAGAAGACAAAAAGACAGAGACATTTTTTTTCTATTTTCATCTTATTTAGCTATATTTCTCCCTCTCCCCTCTCTGGGAGCGTCCAACCTCCCGGCCCCGCACATACTCCCGAGGCTCAGGTCTCCCTCTCGAGGGACGACATGTCAACAACTCTTCACCTGCTGCAGCTCTGCAAGTTCCTGCCGGCGCACCCCTCTGATTGGTCAGATGTCGAGTGCTGTCAATCATTGCAGCGACGCATGCACGGTCAGATTACAGGTCTCGTCTCTTCTTTCGTTCCTCGAGGTGATTCTATGCGCGCTTCACGATAGCGCAGATGTGCATCCATTGTGCATATGCGCAAATGCATCCCCTCACGCAAATTGTGGCCCTCCATTGAAGATGTGACCCTACGCACAGCGCGTGAGGGGCGGCCCTACATATATCACAAAGTTTATAGAAAATGGTAATTTGCAACATCTGTCCCTAGAAGGGCTTTTAAGAAAAAATTGGATCAGAAAAATAAAGAGGTACAGTAGAGATAAACTATTTATAACAAAGTACAATAAAGCACACATCTAAAAACAAAGCATTTAAAAAACTAAACATGAGTACAAGCCTGTTGCTGAATCAGCCAGGATTTGGTAGCTCTCTTAAAGGGCCAGTGTGTAATATTTGGCATGGTTTATTGTCAAATCTGAATCTGAATCTGAATATTCTACCCATTAATATGTTTATATAAGTGTATAATTGCTATAAAATAAAATTCGTTTGGTTTCCGTAGCCTTATAATTATGCTTATATATATATACAGTACATTACATACATGGCGGCGCAAGATGGCGACCTCTCTAAAGCAAGGCCCTTGCTATATATA